AAATTGTTCTCCCTCCTGCGCGGGCAAAAACTAAGTTAACGATATTTAAGAATCATGAATTCATAGTTGAATAATAAGTTCTTAAAGATTTTACTAGCAAGCCCCGACCCATGGACCCTCCACATTTGTGTTGTGTAGCATGGCAGTCTCTCCAGCCAAACTGATACGTCTGAACTACGTAGGAGCCAGCGCTGCCAAGGTTCTGTGGTCAGTACTTGGTAAAAGTAGTCTATATTCAGAAAAACCTTTCGTGTTTTGAACTGCTATTAATAAATAATTGTGGTCGGAAAGCTAAAATCAGTTGTACTTTTAGTTAATATAATTAAAACATTAAAACGAGTTCTTAAACTTAATTATTTGTGGAATACTTGATGCTGTCCAGGCTCACCCAGAGTTTACCTCCAACGGACCCCAGTTGATTTGAATTTGAAACCACTCTTGTAAAGGTAGACAAGTGGAGAACCGACCACCCATGCACACAAGCAAACATTTCCTACTGGTCTTTACTTTACACTATCAAAGATGATCTGGGAACTCACCAGAAAACATAGAGTAACTAAGCCGGCTTTAAGCATCTTGTTCGAGCTACCGTCAACTCAGATGATCAGATGTGAACAATCGTTGAACACTAGAGCCTGTACGAAGAATTGAAGACTTGACTGTCCGGTCGAAGGCTGGCTTTCAAGTAACCGCATACAAAATACACCTTGGGTTAAATTTAATAAAGGGTACTTCTAACAGCCGACCTCGTTTTTGTTTCGAGTTTTTGTTCTTATTGTTTTCATATTTTTGTTTCAAGATAAAATTACTTCCTTACTAGACCAAATTTTGTAGGGCAGCCGCGCCCAGAGACAATATTTGAGTTACAACCACGCCTTATTTTGCTATTTTGGTATAACGATTACAAGGTCAAATGCCACGAGATACATTAATTTTTACTGTTACTTTCGTAACCGCTGGATACTAGACACCGAGTCAGAGAGAAAACTGACGCTCAAAAGACATGGTTCCTCGTATGTCATTTAAAAAGGCGGAGGGATCCTAAGATTGTGTCATTGCTTAAAAAATAAATAAATAAATAAATGCTAGTATGGAACATGGAGACAACAAAGTTGATGATGGTGGTGTTCCTTTTTCGCTGGCCTTTCCGATTTGTGTTCACCGCACCATTCCGTCATATTCCTTACCTCCACGCATATGTTTCCCCTACAACTCTCTCTCTCTCCCCCCCCCCTCTCTCTCTCTCTCTCTCTCTCTCTCTCTCTCTCTCTCTCTCTCTCTCTCTCCCTCTCTCTCTTTCTCTCACTTTTTCTCTTTCTCTCTACAACCTATTTCCTAAGTGTTCCCCTTTCTCTGGCTTTTCCGATTTGTGTCCACCACATCTTTTAGCATTGTGACATGAATGTACGCACTTTGGTTTCTTCAGCCGGTGGAGTCATTTATATTTTGAATGTTCATGACGAAGCCCGCAGAGGGCGAAACGTTGAACGTGTCATTAAATATTTTGGAAATACATGCACTCCCAAGTCTCAACCAATTTTACTCTCTGCTGTTTACAATGATGATGATGATGATGATGATGATGATGATGATGATGATGATGATGATGATGATTGTTCCTTCTCAACTCAACAAACCCGAAAAACACAAGTAAATGACGTTATAATATAGCCATGTTTCTCATTTCACAGATGTGTACAACAATGCAAAGAATAGGAATTCAAATGTTTGTCTCAATGTGTTGGTCCTTGAGGAATTGTATGGGTGAGAGGCAGAGTGCAGTCGAATGCGAGTCGTCTTGCCTTACCAGGCCTTGTCATGAGATTCGATCCTGGGTAGACTCAGTCTCTACACATAAGTAAAAGTGACACACACACACTTACACACACACTTACACACACACATACACACACACACACACACACACACACACACACACACACACACACACACACACACAAACAAACACACACACATAAACACACACGACGCAGCTACACAAAACATTCTTCCTAGAATGCAAATCGTGTTCATCTTGGCACGTTCTTTGCACCCCTTTCGCATGAAAGCAATGGAACAATATAAGACAGTCCCACATCTTGGGTGGAGTAAAACGGTTTCTAAATGCATCATTCGTGAAAAATAGAAATCTGACATGGACGGAAATTTTTCTTTTCTAAAATGTTCTCTTTTCACCTCCTTTCTGCACTCTAACCACGTTCTGTAGTCTACTTTCGTCTCCACTTCCTACGTGCCTTTCCCTCCCCTTTGCCCCCTCCCCTGGGCTCCTGACTATTTCTGCAGCCTTTCTACTGCTCTTCCTTGACTCCCTCTTACTGCTTTCTGTCAGGCACACCCCTGATCTCACGGTAGGAAAGATCTAAGACGTGGTCTTCTCGGATAAGGACGA